TCATGCAAATGAAATGGAAAGCAGAAAAAAAATCGTCAGAAAATCTGGGTGAATTCATTTGGAGGCATCCAACTGACAGGCTTTTGACAAAAAAAAAAAACATAAAAAATCAATTTTTATTTGAGCAACACAGTATTATAAATTATTGTGATTCGATAATGAATTTATTTAGGGCCAGAAGAAAAGTGATTACATAAGAATATCAGCTTCCTTTTTTTGTTCTAGTTATGCAAAAAAATATTGAAAACATCAACTGTATTTTAAATACTGAGGACAATGATTATTATTTTTCAAACCTCATAGTTTTGAATGGTTGAATTTGCAATCCTGGATCTAATCTCAGTGCTTATGCTTTTGTAGCTAAAGAAGACACTCTCCTGCTGTAGAATTCCCTCACACCAAAAATAAGATTGGACCAAAATGTAATTATTCCCTTGGCTTTGGTGTAGGGTGTTAGCCATGATCTGCAATTCTGCTTGTGGAAATGATAAACTGGATTTCTTGTAAGTGATTGAGAGAGACCTTTCACACCATCAAATAACAATTTCTTAGAACTGCTAGTATATTTAAGAAATGCTAATAATAGTAAATTAGAGCAGTGTTTCCACTTACTGCTAAGATGGGAAATGTATGTTCAAATGTCTTCAAGACACAAACTTCTAGGTAGGTTCTTATTTTAATCAGAGCCTTTTTGGCCCTCTTCTTGTTTGTCAGAAATCTCGTGAAATAAAGCTTTGGGGGCTTTTGGGTAATACAAGACCTAGATACTCTACACAGGCTGCAGCATTGCTAAACTAGATATTTTTCACAACAGTGAAAATTTTGGAACAGGGTGCAGCTGTGAGTTTATTATTGCAACATGGGAGCAGGTTCAATCCTCACAGTCCTAAAGAAATACTAGTCAAGTACAACCCTGAATTTCTATCTAAAAAAACCACGAATGGTTGATAACAACTGAGACAGTCTCTGAAATCAGAAAAAGAGCAAAAAGATGGGAGAGAGATCTATGTAAGTCTCAGTCTCGGTTATTTAACAACCATGGCAAGCTAGAAACTAAAATGGAAAGCCTAGCAGTAGTGGCACTCTGATTCCAACTAGCCACCACTGTTTATTTTGAGAGAGTATATAGAAAGAGGAGGGAGGGATTTGTGAGGGAGCTGAGGGAGTGCTCTGTGTTTCACCATATCCTGTTTTGAACAGTTTCATTAGGCTTACCCCACAATTAATTTTAGGTCCTTGCAGCACCCTAAGGATATCTACTCTTTCCTGGCTCTGAGCTCCAGAAGCTCACACTGAATTGATGATACTTATAGACCACAAACTTCTTCCAAGCTCATCCATGGTCAATAAAGCAAATTATTTGCTGCATTCCAAAGTTTTGGATTATAGCATTAGTCTGGATTTGGACTGTTGGGGAGTTAGTAACACACCTTAGTAACCCGAGTTACTACCTACTTAATGACCTAGGATGTATTGATATTATTTTGGAGCTTAGAATGAGAAAAAATGAAACATTTAAAGACATTGCTTGTTGATATGCAGAAAGCCAGTGGATCCTACAAAATTGAAGTGCTAATGAAGACTGAAAATTAAAAGCATAGCATATACTATAAGAGGGCCTAATGTAATTTTAATTAATAAGACTAAAACTCACAAACTATCCGTAGAGCATGTTCAGTATACTGGGCAGACTAGAAGCAAATTTATAGCTACAGAATCTACAGTTATTTCTTAGAATATTTTTTCCTAACAAAATTATTTCTAAAAAATAATAAAAGGTTGAATTAAATGTGAGAAAAAAAGTATCATTAACTGAGCTGAATTTTTAGGTAGCTGTTTTTTGCTGGTACTGAATAAACCCAGGTTCCTAAAAATAAAGCTTGGGAACCAGTAACAGCAATGTCATTGATAGTACCAGCAATTGTAATTATCCTCTCCACTTGCAAGCATTTCAAAATAATACCTAATGTTATGAAAATAGGAGAGTGTCTGCTTCAATCTATCTGCTAATCTAGATGAAGGACCCTTCTTTGCTCAGAATTAATGGGACAGGAGAGGTGTGGGTACACTTATACATGCAAAGATTATTTATTTATATGGCCTGGGAAACAAGAAGTTAGGTGTGACAGGCTTGAGCAATGCCTGTTATCGTTTCTGCAGGTAGCCTGCTACACTGAAATCAGTCCCGTGATAATTATTTCCACGGGCTTGATTGGGTGGCATTGCATCACAACTCCATTTTCAACTTTATATCCAAACCATTTTTGCAGTTCAAAAAGTAGATTAATCTCAAAGCACTTGACAGTTGTATGATGACAGGAAATGTACTTTAAGAAAATGATGAGGAAGAACACAAATGACACAGGAAGAGGCAGGTAGCACTGATCAGTGGCTCTGCACATGGTATGCTTATTCTGTACTGATAAATTATGAGAAGTCTGATGCATACCAATATCTGAACATGATTAGATTGGTAACTGAAAATAACAAAACTTATTTCATCTCCATTTATTCATCTTTTTTGAAGCAGCAGAAGAGAAAACTTGATGAGTGGCTCAACTAATTAGTTTATATAGATAAAGATTTCTCAGTTACTTTGAACTGGAGATATTTCTTGGATGTGAGCTACTTCATGTTTTAGGCACAATTACATTTTAGCATAGCTGAGATTTGCTATTGCTGACAGTTAATAATTTCCTTACATCCTTAGCTTGTAAGCTACTTCTAGACTACCCAATGGAACATTAACTTGTAAGAAATCATATGCTAATACTAATCTGACATATTTTTAAAACCAATGTATAAAATGATCAGTCAGGAAATACAACTTCTGGCTGTACCTTTTCCAAGATTTCATAAGCCAAACATAACTGAAACATATAGACTTTTTTTTTTTTTAAAAAAAAAAAAAAAAACAAAAACAAACAGTAATTACTGTTGGATTGCTTCTACAGTTTTTGATGCTCAGAACTATGTATAAGACCACAGGACCTGACCATCTAAATGATCATCTGTATGACAGTGTAGATCTTGTTATACAAATGCAGCAACTGGAACCACGAAGGAAAGAATAACTGAAGAAAATGTTTTTGTTATATCCTTCTTTCTCATAGAAGCATTCCATTCTCACCACAATAACAATGACTTTTTACAAAAACTATAGAAACAAAATAACAATTACAACAGAGTAGTCCAAGAAAGATCTCACCCAGAAAAAGTCTGCTCATAAATTAGAGATTTGGGGAACAATGTGATCATTGTTAACTGGTTACTTCTGATAAATTAGTTATGTTAGCTTCATTGTTTTAAAATAAACAATCATCAGTAGATTCTCTAGGGTTATATGTCAAGGAGATTTGTAACGGTGTACCTACTCCTAAGAGCATCAGTAGATGAACTTGAGCTTAATTAAATAAGAATTTAGAAAAAAGTTGTTGATAATTGCAGTAGAAATAACGTGAACACGATCACCTAAAAAGACACTCCTTTTATCTCCTCTCCTGAGAGGTCCTGAAGAACTTGAAGAATTTACCTGAAAATTAAAAAAAATCTCCCTTACAACCTAGTCTACCTGCCTTGGATTGGATGAAGGAAATATGCTTTGTAAATTCAACTCTAGATTAAAGAGTCCAAATATCAAAAACTGAGCAAAAATATTTTGAAAAATCTGTCCCACAAAGCCGACAAATGTGTCACTGTCAAGTAGTACTTCTGACAAAAATTTAATGAGGAGATTTTAATGATCTAAGATGGAATCTAAGAATGTGAACTGTACTCCAGAACCGACAACTGATTAGGACAGCTGCATCCCAGACGCAGGCAGCCCTCCTGATTCTAAGCAAAGTCTGGTTGCACCTATATTAATGCTACAGTTCAGACCAGGAGTACACTTTCACATCACTCCTGAAGCACATGTATTCTTTATTTTAGCAAAATCTACCTTATTCCTCTTTTTTCCAAGGTACTTCACAGCTCTCATTCTAGTGCATCCAGCCTTGGCAATAGCTATACTGTCCTTATTTATGCTGAGTCAGCGTCTCTCACTAATTGTTCACTCCTCTTTCTTTTATTAAGAGATAGCTATCATATCATATCAAGAAGGAAACTTCCAAGTGTAAATTAGATAAACTTTTGGTGATAATCTATTCGCACATTTTGTGTAAATGCAAAGGAGTTTTCAAGTACTTTAGAGTCTGGAAGTTGCTTCATTCACTGATCTAAAATAGCTTGACTTTGGTCACAGACACAGAGCAAAAGATTTCTCTCATTTTTCTTTGCAGAAGGCTATTGATGAGCTACAGTGAGTGGCTAACAGGGATACGCTGCATATATCTATTGGGCTAAACACCTAGTAGACTAACTAATTTAATGAATTACCATTTTCAAGCACTTAGACTCTTTCCATTTGTAAAAATAAAAAGAAACCTATTAAAGAAATAAAAATTATGTTAGCAGAGATAGTAAGTTTACTATAGCAAGGATTATGACTGCTTACATCATCACACTCAACACAAGAACACTTTCTTAGGAGTTCTAAATTAATACAAATATATTAAGACCCCAATATGGTCTTGGAAGGCACAAGAGAAGCCCACAAAGAAACTGTTTAACTTTGGCCTTTCTCAGTAGAATCAGCTGATCTTTACTGTTTAATATTCAAAGGTCTCCTCCAGCTGTGTCAGGACTGTGATGTGTTCTTGGCACTCAGGACTGGTCGGTCAATAAGAGTCTATAGAGTTTCAAAGGTATTCTCTAGCTGTTTCCCAAGCCCTTCCTTTCACTCTTCATAGCAGTGAGAAGTCACCGCAGCATGTGTTCTCAGGACACTATGTCACCAGAGTTGCACTGAGTTTTCACTTTCAAAGGCAGAAGCAGGTAAAGTCCCACTCCTTCAGCAGCTAACACTATGAAGAATACTCAGGTAACGATTTCTGTTCAGTATTCTTTGCATTTTTTCATGCTAAATTTAAAATCTACTATAAGGAAAAAAAACAACTTACCTTCTGTAAATAGTCAGTTCCCCAGAGCTGGAACAATGTCTTCCATTTTGTTTCAAAACACTAAGCATGCCTGGAATCATATCTGAAATAAATAGTTAGAAGAGCAGTATAGTTAGTATAGCTATGTTTTCAGGCACATCTATACTTACCAGTCTGTAACTGTTTGATGGGGATAGAGTCTGTTAATGCCTACCAACATCCTCCCCAGAATGCCCACCAATTCATCCTCAAAACAGAAGCATCTGGCTTCTGTTTGGCATTGCCATCACATGGCAATAGATAGAAGTGCAGTAATGGGTACAATTTGTAATGGTTAAAGCCTCAGAACAGCTAATATACATACTTTGATAGTGCAAGTAGTTATAGAGCCCAGTTTGCAAAGGTTGCTCATTACAGATACCATATCAGACAAAGGATGTAGAGGCTGAAGAAAAAACATTTCTACTGAGGTCTCTTAACCTTTCCTTTTTGACTTTCTTTTTTAATTCACTCTTTATCACTTTCCTACAACATCAATGTCTCCTCTATCAGACAGAACATGGTCTTCCTGTGTGAGCTGTGGCTTATACCAACTTCCTGGTTTGCAAAATCAGTTTATAAACCTTCACATCCTTCTGAACAAAATTTTCAGTCCCGAGGCTTGATTAACAAACCAGGCCTTGGAACGTCCAAGATTCTCCATCATGTAGACCAAACCAGAGATTACATAATTTTTATTGGACTACAGAACCTTTGTTTTCTCAAGTACTTGACTATCAGGTACTTTGTTCTCCCATGTAGTATTCAACGTATGGCAAAATGAGTGACATAAACAATAACATGTGATTTCCTAGATGAAGTAGTAACATGAGAATGCACACTACTCAGTATTTTGAAGGGTAGAATCTGTTTTGGAGGACAGTGGGAATGGAATATACAACAAAGTCCAGTTCTTATCATTGTTTCATTATCATGTAACACTGGGTATAAGGGGTACACAGAGAGACCAGCATAGAAGGAAATGCAGAAATGAAGACAGTACAGCAGCAAAGAGCTCCAAACAGGTGAGGGATGGGCATGTAAAGAGAGCCTGTTTACAGGGAAGCATAACTCATGGGGTACCTTTCTGTGAAATGGAAGAAAGGAGTCCCTGGTATGTATGTAAGCCACACAGTTTACAAGACTGGTGAAGTGGACGTGACCTATACACTGGATAAATACAGCTGCCCTCAAGATAACACATTTTTCTGAAATAACTAAATAAACTGCTTCACACTAGTAGCATTCCCTTCCATATACTAGTCATGAAAATGCTTTCAACTCAGAGTTTACTTAATTACAAATACCTAGCTAGCTAGCTAAGGCAAAGATCATGTGTTTTTGAAGTGGTCACTCTTGTCCTACTATCTAATCATCCCCTTGTCTGCTGCTGCTACTCATGATGTTAAGCCTAAATGTAAGATTATCACCTTTTGGAGGCAGAGACCAAGAATTATGTCTTTGAAGCACAATAAATGCTAATTAGGTATAATCAATAATAATGATAGTTTTGTAATGGAAAATAGGAAGGTGAGGAAAAAGAAACAGCTGAGATCATGATAATTACTTTGTAGTAGGACTGACAGCAAAAACTAGTGTGAAAAGCTGGCCACTTGAGGAAACAGCTATTTATTTTCATTTTCCTTACAGTTAAAATAGTTATGTTAAAGTGTACTAAGTGTCACACTAAACATGATTTGTAACTTTAACAAGCTCTGGAAGTGAAGCTGTACTTTCTTTCTACTTGAGGTGTGTGTATCTCTGAGGGTTTTGATGTAGTAACCTCTTTGGAATGCTGCAATTACCACCTACGTGGCAAATTGGTACATTCCTCTGCTAGTAATCCACTCCTCCATTTAGCCAGAGGACAGGGAGGAGAAGGAGGTGACTCTAGTGGAGGGAACAGTCAGAGCCACAGAGCATTCTACTGGAAGAGCAAAGAAGCACTAGGCTTAAACTCACAATATAGGATTTAAAAGCCTTCCACATGGAGCGTAAAAGCCCTGTACACCCATGAGATACAAGATAATTTGGACAAAACCAGGAATTGAGCTCCTTGACAATTCTGATCTAATGCTTTAAGTTCCTGCTTACCACTGAATTCTGGCTTTTTTTTTTTTTTTTTTTTTTTCTCTGACAGAGTCACAGTTAAATGTTACACATCCAAATGGCAATTTCATGCTACAGCTGTTTTTTGCTTTCCAGTCCAAGAAGTTACACTACATCTGTGTAATGGTATCAACTTATATAAACATATACATGTGCAAATAAACAAATAAATATCAGCATGTATCAGCATAATGCTACCATTCCAGGACTCAAGTTTTACAAGGAAAATAATGTTTTATCTCCCAAATAGTTGCAGATAGAAGTCAGAGTTTCAGAATGGGTATATACCTTAAAGGAAGAAAAGGTAGTGCTTCACAGACATGAGTTGCTTAGGTTATTTTAAGAACCACTGTGTTATTCTGAACAAGATGGGAGAGCAGCAAGAATTTCACTCATGCTAGTGTTCTTCCCAGTCCAGTTAAAAAAAACCCACAAAACAAAATAAATGCCAAACCACATAAAACTCAGTCTTTTAGTTGCAGTTCAGCAACCTTATACAATTTGCAAGACCAACCACAAGTGCTCTTAGTTCTCTACCTAATTTGACACCTATGTTTTAATCACCATAAAAAAATCCTATGTCAAATCCATGTTTTCTCAGTTGTCTTTATTACTGTTGGCCCATATCCAGTTCTTACACTAACAAAGTAGTACTCAAATTTAAAAAGCATGTTCTGTGTTAGCTTTCCATATTGTACAACTTGCTCTTGATACAACCTGTAGACTTATATTAATACTAAACACAGCACTCTGAAAACCCAAAAATATCAGATTCAGTTGTGAGTAGGTGTAAGATGACACAGTGTTCTGCAGTTTTTATTAATGGAGATAAATGATAGTAAGATGGTGATGAATACTCTTAGTAGCAAGTAGTGTAAATGAGTCTTTTTAGTGCAGTGCTGGATTGTGCTCTGAGTGCAGGTCATAGGCAACTTCTGGTCTTCAGTGGGATTTTTTTGCTATGATGGTTCCACAGAGAACCTGCTGACCATCAAGGCTGTTGCTGGTACAGGGCCCCTCACAGCTGTGCTAGACGTATAGTGACTGGGCAAACAGAAAGCTGAGGTATTGAGTTAGTGTGTGGAATGTCTCACAAATATAACTTCTAAGTCCTCTTATTCTTCCAGCATTTTTTAGTATTTTTGCTCTGCACTTAGAATCTACTGCCCAGCCTTCTTTGGGCCATGAGATCACGATAAGCAGGTAGAGTTCCTGCTCATAAGGACTGACAAATTAATTTTCTTGAGTTCCTTCAATCTGATGTTCCATCTAGTAAATGGATTCCTTACAGAAGGCATTATTTTTTACAATAAGTTTGAATGCAATTTTAATATATAACCATCCTTAAGGATAAGTATTAATTTACTATAATCCATTAATTTAAAGACTTTCAAGCTTAGTATGATGTTATCCACAGCATGAAAGACAGGCTATCTGTTAACATCACCCTTTCAGAAAAAAAACAGCAACCTTGTAGCAACTGTAGTTATAGAGAACAGTGATATAAATATCCTTAATATAACTTTTAATATAGATTTAACAAGTGAAAATATTTTGGAGAGTCAACTCAAGGTCAGATGTCTAAGGACCACCTGACAGTGATTCACTACCCTGTAGTGATTCATAAAGCACTGACAGAATTTCTAGAGTAACTCAAAAAAATACATTCTACTATCTGCTATAGCTGCATACTCATACTGTTGGTTGTACTACCGATGCATAAATATGCCTTTGCATGTCTGCTTTAAACGGGTTAAACCACATCTACATCCACAGTGTAAGATATTAACTAAATACGTGAAACTAGGTCACTGTGTATAGTTTTCAATATTAATTCAAATGAGGTAATACAACTGGGAATAAAAAGATAACATAAGTGAAAAACAGCATAGGAAAAGGGAAAAAAGGAAAATATGCACATATCTCAAGTCAGAAAAAGTAGCTGTGGGAGAACATACATCTAATAACTAGGTAGTCCACAGGATTTAGCTGTGGAGCCAAACACTTTCAGCTTCATATCTGAGTTCACAGCAAGACAAGTTTCATCTTTAATTTAAGGAATCTTTTATTTTTACATTTCCTTCTTCATCAATGTGAAAGTAAAATCAGGCACACGTGCCTTCCAGTAATAATAACAAAAATGAGTGTTTTTATCATAGTCTATAAACCTGTGGTCTACACATCCAAAGATCTAAATTATAGAATAACCTTTTTAAAAAAATCAGCCAGCCTGCATTAAAGTAATATATAATTTCTATACATCAGTTCCTCATATGCCAGGTAATTTTCTGCAGAATACAGCATGGTGAATAACATCTCCAAAGGCATTCAATGGATATTTGAACTGTTTCATTATATAAAGCCATGTGGTGGTCCAAAGAAAGACCCGTCCTGGACTTTTTGAAACCTTTGTGTCAAATTTCAGAACTTAATTTGGAGAACACGCTTGAAACAGGGCCCAGAAATCTGTGTACAGTTAGATCCAAGATGAGCATAGACTATGAGGTTTCCCGATGGCTAAACATGATATGATGTGATGGATGTGAGAGCAATGGAGCTGTAAACTGTAGGAGATGAGTATTTATTTATTATAAAGTAAGTGCTTAACTGTAGGTAGTGCAATCTGAAGGCACATACACAAGCAGACCTTCAGATGCAAAGCACCATGAGATTGGGCATGGTATAAACTGCTGTATAGACCCTGGTACATGTACAGTAGGATTACATATCAAGCACATATGGAGGGTGAATCCAAGGCCCTACCACTCCTTGTGACAGTCCTGATGATAGGGCAGATATAAGCAGCTCTTGATGAGTGCAGTGCTCAAACAAATGTTAGTGTTACTGGTACACTGTGGGAGTGATCTGAGTGGGCAGAATTAACATTGTGTGGACGGGAAACTAATTCTTGGTTTCCTGTTTTTAAATGTCTCTGTTCTGCTGACCTTGATACAC